ATAATAGAGTTGTTTAGGCAAATTAAATGTTCCAACACCAATCCCACCACTAGTGTACCCTTCTCCCCACCGTTGTCCCTAGTTTCCCATCCACCATCCCAGCCTGCCCCCCCCCACCTTGAGGCATAAGTAAATTTACTTCACATTGTTTGTTACAACAAAAAGGCAAATGGGATTATTTGATTAATGGGATCAACAAGAGTCACTGTCACTGTCACTGTCCTCCCGTTCATAGATTTTCTCAAGCGGGCCCAGTAACATCTCCATTGTGAGACTTGTTACTGTGTTTGGCATATCGAATACGTCACGGGTAGCTTGCCAGGCTCTGCCGTGCAGGCAAGATACTCTTGGTAGCTTGCCAGGCTCTCCGAGAGGGGTGGAGGAATCGAACTAGGGTTGGCCATGTCGGCTGCGTGTGAGGAAAACTCCCTACCCGCTGTGCTATTGCTCCAGCCCAACAAGAGTCAGTTGGTGATAATTGTTGTATCTTGAAATGATGTTACTGAAGTCATTATCTGAGGATCTCTTAAACTGGTTACTGCTAGTTTAGCCTTCTGTGTTATTGTTGAGGTTCATAGAGCTTGGTCATCGTCTGTCCAGACAGTGGAGTTTTAGACATTCAGTGTTTCAGTACTAATCCCACCACTAATGTCAGCTTCTCTCCACCAGTATTCCCAGGTTTCCTCCCCGACTGCCTCCTTGATTGACACTGTATGTTTTTATTTTTGTTTTCATGTTTGGGCCACTCCCAGTTATGCTCAGGGCATACTCCTGGCTCTGTGCTCAAGGATCACACCTGGCGGGCTCTAACTACCATGTAGAGTGCTGGGGATCAAACCCTGGTTGGCTACCTGCAATGTAAGAGCCCTACTCATCCCTCCAACTCCTTTACTGGCATGTCTTTAAGTTTCGTGGCTGTAGTTCAGAACTCAGTGTTGTTGACTCTGTGGCTTGGCTCTTTGGCTGTACCACTTCTCAGCACCACTGATGTACCAGAGGCCCTTGACCCCTGCCCTCCATTAACTCCCCTCCTTCTTTTATTACCCTCCCCCCACCTCCTTGTTGTTTCCTTTTCTATCCTTCTCCCTACACCCTGGAGTCATGGGTGATCTAAGAATTCCTCCTTTACTACTTTGGTCCTGGACCCCCTCCTGCCTGCACAGCCTGGGGGCATAGCGGATGCAGGGGAACAGAGAGGGTCAGCTTCTTCCTGAGGGTGCCCTGACTAGCATGGGTTTTGTGACTTCCCAGCTGTTGCCTGTTTCCCAAGCTCCACAAGGGCCTATGTTCAGCGGGGCAGGGCTCCCTTTCACATTTACGGACTCCCATCCTCATCACCGACTTTGGCTCCCAAATAAGTTTTCACCAGTTTCACTGAATGAAGGGCCTGTTGCAGAAGTATCCCTCTGCCCCCAACTGCTGAAAGGAGGAGGCATGTGGTATCACCTGGAATGTGTCTGGAGGGAGCCCTGATGTGTGTGTGGGGGGCGGGAGGTGGGGGGGGTGGAGAGGGATGGTGACGGCTGATAGCCAGAGACTGATTTGTGCCCAGGGTGTTCCCTTCACTACTACTCCAATCTTTTTTTTTCCCTATTCTTTTTTCTTTATGTGCTGAGGGTGGGGGGCAGTGTTTCTGGGCCCTGCATGGCCCCCTGCAGGCTTTTGAGGAGTCAGCTCTGAGTTAAGGTCTCCCACCTCTCACTGCAGAAAGAGGGAAAAGGAGTGGGCCCATGGACATCCTGGGACTGGTCTGTACCTCAAGGACCCCAGGGTAAGGGGGTGCTGTGTGCAAGCATCAGAGAGTCCATCTGCTGGACACAGCCTGGCTGAAACCGTTAATCATGGGCTGGAGTGGCAGAGGAAAATTTATCTTGTAAGCAGCTGGGCCTCCTGAAAACAGCACGTCTCGGGTTTGTCTCTCCTCATGGAAAGCAATTCATTACTCACCTCTAAAGGCTGTCACCCATCCCAGCAGCGATGACGCTCAGCTTCCTCAGCACCCCTGACAGGAATAAGAAAGAAAAATGTGCTCAGCACTCTATCTTCAAGATTAAAAATTACAATAAAATAAAACCAACAGAGAAAGACATGAGATGATTTTCTGTTCAGAAATTTAAGGAATATTGGGATTTGAGAGTTTTAAAATTTTTTATTTAATAAAAAAACATTTATAAAGTTAGTGATAATTAAGTTTGAGGCAAACAGTATTTCAATACCAGTCCACCACGAGTGTCAACTTCCCTCCACCAGTGTCCCTTGCTACCTCTGACCATTAACAGGCATATTTCAAAGTGCAGGGGTTATAGTTTGGGTCTCATGTTTTCAGTGTTGTCGAGTCTGTGCTTTGGTCCTGCAGCTGTGCAACGCTTCTACATCACCGGTGAAGCCGAGCCCCTGGCTTCTGTTTCCCTGTTGCTGCCCTTTCTCATCTTCTTCCATTCCCCCGAGATTTCTTTCTTCCTCAGTCCTTCACCCTGTACTCTGGGGTCAATGCTGATCTGGGCATCTCCCCTAAAGGATGTTTCTTTCAGTTTAAATGTAAATTTAAATCACTGCTACAGAATGATTTTTCAGTTTGGAACTTTGTTTTTTTGCTTGAGAAATGCTTAAAATAGATAAAATAAGAGTTTTATTCCTTTTAAAAATCTCTAGCTCTCAGGGCTGGAGTAATAGCACAGCGGGTAGGGTGTTTGCCTTGCATGTGGTCAACCGGGTTCGATTCCCAGCATCCCATATGGTCCCCTGAGCACTGCCAGGAGTAATTTCTGTGTGCAGAGCCAGGGGTAACCGCTGTGCATTGCCGGGTATGACCCAAAAAGAAAAAAATCTCTCTCTCTCTCTCTCTCTCTCTCTCTCTCTCTCTCTCTCTCTCTCTCTCTCTCTCTCTCTCCCCCTCTTTCTCTCCCCCCCACCTTTTCTCTCCCCAACCCCGTGACTTTTACTCCCAATCCTAGTACTGGGTCATTCACATCCATAAGTGATCATGATGAAATATTTCTCAAAATAAAATCAGTTTTTTTTCTTTCTCCCTCCAGAACTTTAACTTTCCAGCATTTTCTGCATGGTCAGACCATGGCCCCACCTAGACAGACTCAGTGCCCCTTCCTGAGTGGCCACGTCTCACCCCCACCCCCCTGCCCAGGCTGGCTATCTCCTGCCCAGGCTCTTATATTCAGTTTCTGCTGAAGGATAACAATCACACTTGCAGCCACTTCAAACTCCACCAGTGGATTCTTGCAGTTTCCAGGAGTTGGGAGTCAGGGTGCGGGTTGATGGGGTCCCCGTTCCAGGACACTGAAAGCAGAAATGAAAGTGCTGCCAAGGCTGGGGTCTCCTCCCAGGCAGGGGCCCCCTCCCACGCTCTCTGAGACAAGAGCCCATGCAGTCCCTGGCTGTCATAGGACCCAGGCTCCCAGTTCCTCGATGGTTGTTGGCCGTGGAAGCACTCAGCTGTCACCTCCAGCCCTTGCCAAGGGCCTTAGCATTGCAGCTTCTTCAAATCAGCAGTTTGCTAAGATGGGGTCTGAGGACATGTATGACTGTCACGCTACGTGAGAGGTGGGATGGTGCTCAGGGGTGAGACAGAGTTTTCCAGAAACTCTCGAAATGATTCCAAGTTCTAGTTCATGTGGTATTTCCAGGGATGCTGGTAACAAAAAATTGCACTTTTTAAAAAAAGGAGGGAAGGAGTATAGTGAAACCATATTCAGTGGTTCTCAGGACCTATTCCTAGTTCTCTACTCAGGGTTAAGTGACCCTTGATGGTGCTTGGGAGACCAGATGTAGTACCAAGTATCAAATCGAGATTGGCCATTTTCACGACCAGCACCACCTTACCCTACCCTCCATCCCTCCCTCTCTCTCTCTCTCTCTCTCTCTCTCTCTCTCTCTCCCTCTCTCCCTCTCTCTCTCTCCCCCCCCAGTTACTTATTTATTTTTAATGTGAAGTAATTATATACAAAGACTTTACATCAGAAAAGTTTTTTGTCAGGAGTAGGAGTGTAAAAACCATTTTTTGTCCAGATAAAACTTCAATATATTGATTTATTTTAAGATCATAAAGTATTTGCTGCTCTTATAATTTGTTGAATTGTAATTTTTTAAAGAAAAAAATTATTTCAACCTGAAACATTATCACGATCACGATCATCCTGTTGTTCATCGATTGCCTCGAGCAGGCCCCAGTAATGTCTCCTTCATCCTAGCCCTGAGATTTTAAAAAGTGCCATATTCAAGGCTCTTTCAGGAGTAGGAGAAAGAGACCCATCATTGTTACTGGTATTTGGCATATTGGGTACACCACGGGGAGTTTGCCAGACTCTACCGTGAGGGCAGGTAACATTCGGTAACCTGCCAGGTTGTCCAAAGTATGAATGAGATAATAAGATGGTTCACGGATGCATATGTGGCCACGCGCTTCTGGTAGCCGGGTTTTATAGTCTCTGGGTCTTGGCCATTGATGGGATTACATGGCGCTGGGGGTCAGATGGTGGGTGTGATCCCTGCCTACTGGAACGTGGAGGATCTGGGTGGAGGATGCTGAGCCCCAATCTGAGCAGGCTTGGCGATCTCAGCCCCGGGCCCCGCATGCCTTTGTTCCTCTGCCGGTACCTTCATGCATGTGGAGAGTGGTCTCAGCATTGTGGTGGCTGGTTCTGGAGGTCTTCGGCTGCCGGAGCTCTGTTCGGGGCGGGGAGAGAAACTCAACCCGCCCCCCTCCAAGGGGCCCCGGTGAGGACAGCCAGGCGCAGAGGCAGGAGACTCATTATACAATTTACAATTATATAACAATAAGAGCAACCACCACAAATACAAAATTCTTATCCTGAATACTAAACGTGTACATGTACAACTGTCTAAAGAATTCATGAACAGAATTTTAGTGTGTTTTCCTGTTTCGGAGATTACTGTCATTCACAGACTTTTACTGGCCTTTTCCCACGCAAATAATATCTTCATAATTGAAAGACATTTCTGTATTTTTTTCCTCTGTCTTACAGCTTAAAAAATGTATAAAAACCCCAGAAATGCCTTCTAAGCATGTTAGAAACTGGATCCCCAAGGTGTTAGAACAACGCCGACAAGGTTTGGAAACATATTTGCAGGTAAGATATGTTTAAATCCTCATTTAAGATATTATAGCCTAGATACTTATCTACCTCAAGTTATTTTTTTTTCCTTAGAACAAAATGGGGTGATACAAAATATGTCAAACAACCAAACATTCTTGATTAAGATGAAGTATGTTTAAAATGAAATATATGTCACTAATTTTGGTTCCAAATTGCCGGCCAATTTGGGTGGTTTGTTTATTTATTTGGGGGTAGGGGAGAATCGCAGGTGCTCGGGATCAGGAGGTCTGGAGACAAGGCACGGGTCTGGAGGCTAATGCAGGGCCAGGGTTCAAACTCACAGCCTGGCATGTGTGGGACCGTGTGCTCTGCCTCTGAAGCTGTGTCCTTTCCCCCATGTTCTTTCATCCTCAGTTAGGTCCCATTTAGAATTGAGTGGTGCTGAACTCTGTTGATCTCTTTAAGATTGGCTCTGGATAGGGGGTAGAGAAAATTGAATTGAAAGGTTAAAAGTGAGATAGCACCTGCCCTTAAAAAACAAAAACAAAAAACTGATATATATATATATATATATATATATATATATATATATATATTCTACAAATCCCTTTGATTTGGGTTTTGCTCCTCCCTTGAAGACGCGTCTCTTCACCCACCCCACGTCCTCATTCCGGCTTCAAGTACCAGGAAACTGAGTTTTCCCTGGGTTCCAGCTCTAAAATCGGCTGGAGTATAAACATCTCGTTGAGGCGGTGCAGTGAGCATTTGGGTTGTCAGAAGGATGCAGGAGGCTGCAGAGTCTGGAAGACAAGGGCTCCCCTGCCAGGTGATGACTGTCCACTTCTGTGAGTTGTGAAAGATCCCAGGAGACAGACGCCCCCCTGTGGTCCCAGCACTCTGGGAGCTCTGCTCTGGCAAGGCCGGGCAGGGGCAGGCTTGAGGTCGCACCAGGACACCGGGACAGCAGGCAGCAGGGCCCTGGGAGAGCAGTCTGGGTCTCAGGAAATTAGCTGGACTTTAGCTCTGCATTACTGAAGGCCTGGCGGGCTACTGCCCATCAGAGACAAAGGACTGGGCATCCCCTGCCCACCCTCCCGCTCTTTGCCTCATCACCCCTGCACAGCCGCACCCCGAGCACTGCTGTCCTCAGTGGACAACTCCTGGGACAGTGAGAGGCTGCTGGTGACTTCTTTCTCAAGCTTTTCTGCATGGTCATGCCTGAATTCCTGGTGAGGAGAAGCTGAGAATCCATCCTCCTGGGCTGACGCTCAGTGATACATTCAGAGCAAACCTCTCTCAGTGAGAGGCGAACTCCCAGCTGCCAAAAACTGCCCTGGCCATAGAGGCAGAAGGTTGGCATACAGGGTCCCGCACAGAATGGGGCAGCCTTACTTTTGTGTCTCTATTGACTTTTCCACACAGAGGGTCAGGGGGAGAAGAGATGAGGGGCACAGATGCTAGGAAGGTGTGGGTTCTCCAACCATATGAACATGTCAGCATGTGGGGCAGCCCAGCAGAGAAGAGACAAGTACCACCCCCACCCCCAAATGCAGTTAGAACATGGCCAAGGGTGAAACGTGGGTTCTCTGCAGCTGCAGGGGGCAGGTGGATGCAGGTGCTCTGACCTGGAACTCGGCCTTGGCTGATACTCCAACCCCCTCCCCACATTTTCTCCCACACTTCTGTTACTTTCAGCATCAGTATTTTCTGTTGTTTGTACATCCAGGCCCACAGATGCAGGTAAAAGCATCTGGCGCAGAGAAGAGTTTACTCAAGCTGAGAGTTTTCACTTCACAGAAAAGGGGGCTTGGGAGTCAGGATATGGGGAGGGGGGGGTTGGCTTCTTCCTCTTGTTGGTTGTTGAGTTGTGAGGCGCCTTTTCGCGCCACTCCCCCATCCCCAATTCTGTGCACAGAGCTAGGTGGAGCTGGAAGGAAGTTGTAAAGATGAGCAAGGCTATCTCTCTCCATCCACGGAAAGGCAGGTGCAGGCGCAGGCTCCCCTTCTGGAGGGCTCCCGGTGTCCGGGTCTCTGGGTCTCTGCAAGTAAACAGAGTTGACTGAGTTGCTGCAGCAGCCTGGCTACCTGGCTACCTCCAGGAGACTCCCCCTCACCCTCCAAGAGAGCAAACCCTGAGATGCCAGCACCCCACCCCCACCCCCACCTTCTTGGAAGGCTCCATCCTAGAGCTCAAGTCTGGTATGCTGATGTGCTAGGACAGTAAGCAAGGGCCATAGCAGCTTCAGCTCAGGGGAACTCAGCTATGCTCTGGGCCCCCCTAGCCCCACTCTTCCCTTCAGTTCGTGATCATGAACCCTGGGCTCAGTTTCCCTTCCCAGCTCTCCCTCTCATCCACGAACCAGCTCTTGCATTCTGGACACAGTGTTCAGTTGGCCATGCTGCTTTTATTTCACAGAGGGAGAAACTGAGGTGTAACAGGGGCTTGGAAGATTATATGGGATGCTAGTGTGAAAAGGGAGGGAATCAAACTCCTATCAGCTGTGTGAAAGGCAGGCACTTTACCCACTGAACACTCACTCCAGTTCCTGTTTTCTTGATTTCTGATAGTTTAACTTCGTCCAACCATCCGTGCTTTCTTCTGGCTCCTCTTTTTCTGAGTCTTTCTCTTGCCTGCTGTTGCATTGGTGGCGGATATTGTTTGTCCCTTTCCATTTCCTCCCTTTGTTCATATTTGTACATGTGGTCATGAGCAGCTTTCTTTGCTTTCCACTGAGCATTGTGAGGACCATAGACTGTTTCAAGTCTGGAATATCATCTGCATAAAGGATTCTGAGTTGACTGTTCTTACTTTCAACACTAGTAAACATTGTGCCAATGTGACCTCAACAATATCTGATTTCAAAAATCCGCTTCGGGGGAATGACATGCTAGCTCAGTATGCTGAATGCATGCTTGTATGTGGGCGGTCCAGGTTTGAGCTCAGCACTGCGTTCCCCCAAGCACGACTGGGTATCACTTAGAAATCACACAAACACATCCATTCTGGGGGCCAAAAGATAGGTCAGTGGTCAGGTGCATATGCTTTGTATGAGCTGGAACCTGAGTCTAAACCCAAGCACCACTTGGCTCCTGAGCATCACTGGGTGTAGCCCTAAAGGTGTAGCCCTAGGGCCCCCAGAACACCAAAGGACTGAGTGACACGGCATTCTCCAACCGTCTCTTTGAATCACCTGGTCCGGTTGGCCCAGTATTACCAGGGTGCCTCCTCCCCCAAAACCCCTGGACACTGCTTTGAGAGACTCCAAAATGCAAACGCAAAAATGCAAACAAAAATCCATCTTTGGCAAGGATGTGGCTCAGGGGTAGAGCACTGGGTTCACTCCCTGGTGCCCTTTGGAAACAGTAATCCACTGCCATAGCGATTCTTTTTCCCTGGTGTTGCTTTAAGATAGATAATTTCAAGATTTTATTTTTATCATTAGGTGTTTTTTTTTCTTAATTTAATCACATTGTATCTCATGGGTATTTCTTTTTTTTCTTTTTTTAAATTAATTTTTATTAGTGAAACACCGTGAGGTACAGTTGTAGATTTACAATTTTTTGTGCTTGGGTTTCGATTATACAATGATCAAATACCCATCCCTCCACCAGTGCCCATTTTCCACCACCATGGATCCCAGTATCCCTCCCACCCCCATCCCCCCCACCCCACCCTGCCTCTGTGGCAGGGCATTTCTTTTTGTTCTCTTTCTCCTTTTGGGTGTTGTGGTCTGCAAAAGAGGCATTGAGTGGCAATCATGTTCGGTCCATAGTCTACTTTCAACATGCATCTCCATCCTGGGAGGATCCTCCCAACACCCTTTATTTGGTGCTTCCTTCTCTATCTGACCTGCCCTTTCCCCTAGAATGCCCGGCTGGTCTCTAAGCCATGGAGTAATCCTCCTGGTACTGATCTCGGCTATTCTTGGGTATTAATCTCCTATTTTGTTACTTTATGTCCCCCAGATGAATGCAATCTTTTTATGTCTATCCCTCTCTTTCTGACTCATTTTGCTTAGCATGATACTTTCCATGTAGTACCACTTGTATGTAAATTTCATGACTTAGCTTTTCTAACAGCTACATAGTACTCCATTGTGTAGATGTAACAAAGTTTCTTTAACCAGTCATCTGTTCTTGGGTACTCAGGTTTTTTCTGGATTCTGGCTATTGTAAAGAGTGCTGCGATGAACAAACAAGTGCAATGTCACTTTGACTATACAGTTTTGCCTCTCTGGGATATATTCCCAGGAGTGGTATTGCTGGGTCAAATGGGAGCTCAATTTCTAACTTTTTGAGAATTGTCCTTACTGTTTTCCAAAAGGGCTGGACCAGTCGGCATTCCCACCAACAGTGAAGGAGTGTCTCTTTCTCGCCACATCTGCGCCAGCATTGGTTGCTTTTGTTCTTTTGGATGTGGGCCAGTCTCTGAGGTGTGAGATGGTATCTCATTGTGGTTTTGATCTGCATCTCCCTGATGATTAATGATGTAGAGCATTTTCTCATGTTTTGTGTTCAGGATATGCCAGTGGTGATCAGAATTTACTCCTGTCTCTGGGCTCAGGGAGATCACCACTGGTGGGGCTCAGGAGACCCAGTGGGATGCCGGGGAATGAACCAGGGTTGGCTGCCTGCCCACTGTACTATCATTCTTGTCCCCTTTCCTTTGTGTTTGATGGTTGTCTGGTTTGTCTTTTTTTTTTTTTAACAATAAAACCAGTGTTACCATCTTAGGTGTGCAGTGCTGCCGCATGCCCCCATCAGAAGCATCAGATCCCCTCCTGCAGCTCCCCGTCAGTGTGACCGACTTACATGTCTTTTTTAAACAGTGGCTCTCTAGTACTTCAGCCCCTTTTGTAGCAGTGCTTTCATGCACCTGGCCCTGTGAAGAAGATCAGGTTGTCTTTTGTAGTGCCAGGGACCCCAGACAGCAGAGTCACTGGGACTATGCTCAGCACATATGAGCAACACTGGGGGTCAAATTCAGGGTCTCAGACTTGGAATGCAGGTGCTTTCAATCTCTCAGCCATTCC